ACACACACACACACACACACACACACACACACACACACACACACACACACCAGTATACATTGCGTTCTAGGTAAAAACACAATGTTGATAATTTCTGTATTTCTTTGATATACACAAGTAAAAAGAGAACAAACAAATAAATATATTAAAAACTAAAAGACAGAAATAATGAGCTGTAAATGAACCAGAGTCCAGCTGAATATCTCCTAACTCTAGAGAAACGTTGATGTGATCAGTTTTTGTTAATCTGTCTGTCTGTCTGTCTGTCTGTGTGTGTGTGTGTGTGTGTGTGTGTGGTGTGTGTGTGTGTGTGTGTGCGTGCGTTACCTGTGACTCGTACAGCCTCTCCTTACGATTGGCTACTTCACTCCTGATGATGGTGCCGATGTACTCGATGACCATGGTGCATTTCTCAATGTCTCTGGCAGCGTAGAGACCCAGACCCTACACACACACACACACACACACACACACACACACACACACACACATTAGTGATTTGTCCTTCAGTCAGTCAGGTGTTCAGTCTGTGCACCAGGTTCCTCACCTGTATACGAGAGCGAGCCAGGTAGACGCTGGTCTTCCACTCGGCCTTCATGCGTCGGTACTGAGCCGACTTAGAGTGACGTCCCTGATGAGCTGCCGCCACCGACTCCCCCGGAGACAGAGAGATGACGCCGGGCACGAGGCCCACGATGGAGCCCACGGAGCCCTGACACCTGGGAGCGCTGCTGGTCAACAGGTTGGGTCTGACACAGAGACACACACAGGTAGGACATCACTCACCTGTCTCTGAACTGATCCACCAGTACAGGCATCTATCGGTACAGGAATGTATCAGTACAAGTGTGTATCAGGACAGGTGTGTTACCTCTTGGTTTGGGAGGCTTTGGGTTCAGAACGGGCTGATCCAGAAGGGTTGAAGGCCAGAGGCCACTCCATGAGAGGGTTCCTTCCATAACGAAAGGTGTAACGCTCACAGGTCTCCACACCTGGCAACTACACACACACACACACACACACACACACACAGGTCAGTATGATGATTATGATATTACATATTATATGTGTGTGTGTGTGTGTGTGTGTGTGTGAGAGAGAGAGAGAGACGTACAGACTCCAGGATCCTGGTCACTGCAGAAGTTGTCAATCCAAACAGATCTTCTCCTTTCAGGTAAACTGGGAAAAGCTTCAGAGTCCCACTGGAGGATCTCATCTGTGATACTGGTCCCAGTATCTGGTCCCACACAGCTGGAGAAACAGACACACACAAAGAGACAAAAATAATCTCAGATGGTCACGTTCACAGGTCATTTTGATCGGCTGCCTGCTCCCAGTCTTGTGTAATATGAGGTGATGTTTACCTTTAGGAGTTGTTCCGGTCAGGATGAGGTCATTGTATCCCGTCTCCACCACCTTCACTTTAAACAGCGGCCGGCCCTCGTCTTCCTCAATGCAGCACATGTACCGACAGCGTCTGCAGGCGCACAGGGATGATGTCATCATCCAAACCAAAACGTTTAATACGGGAAAACCACTAACGATTGATTGATTATTATTTCCTGTTTTCATTCAGAAAGACTTCCTGCTTTTCTCTGCTTTTCACAATAAACTGAATTTTTTATAGATCAAACGATTAATGTAGAAAATGACTACAGGTGAGTGTAGAAGCAAAGCATCATGGGAGTTACCTGTTGCTGTGCCGCATGCTCCAGTAGATGCGGTTGGTGTGGTAACCAATGGGGAAGATGGCGGCCTTGTTGTGGAAGGCCTTCATCTGCTGTGGGAGGAGCCTCCCGATGGCAGTGAACAGCAGGCTGCCGACCCTGAAGGTGTGACGCCGCTCGCCACGCTGCACCACGGCGGCGATCTGCCGCGCCTCGTCCCGCTGCACGAACACCCGGCGGAACACAGCGAAGCACCACAGCTCACAGTCGTACGGGTCACAGACCGCCGAGGGGTCACAGCTCGGCCCCCCCGGGGTGGAGGAGGGGGAGTCGCTGGAGGAACGGTCCGCTCCAACAGGACCCGACCTGGGTTTATGGAGCTGACACAGCATCGTCTTGTCCTGGAGGAACCAGCAGTGTGTGTTAGTGTTACTGTGTGTGTGCTACTGTGTGTGTGTTACAGTGTTTACCTTGAATAAGGTGCAGTGGGCCTGCATGCGTGTGTTACAGTGTGTGTTACTGTGTGTGTGTTACAGTGTGTGTTGCAGTGTGTGTAGCAGTGTGTGTTGCAGTGTGTACTGTGTGTACCTTGAAGAAGGTGCAGTGGGCCTGCAGTGCACAGGTGAAGTGGTAGGTGTTGGTGCAGCGGAGGCGGTTGCAGCCGCTCGTGGCTCCGGTCTTGTGACAGTGAGCACAGCGTAGAGACAGACTCCTCCTTAGAGCCAGCTCCACGTTGATCAGAGCTCCGGCCTGAGTCTCGTACACCTCGCTGGACCACAGAGCGCAGTTCAGGTGGACCTGAGACACGGAGAGAGACACGTTATCAACTGATCCAGACTATCATCAGAGACTCTGCTGGTTCCTGAAGGTTCAGAGTATCATCAGAGACTCTGCTGGTTCCTGAAGGTTCAGAGTATCATCAGAGACTCTGCTGGTTCCTGAAGGTTCAGAGTATCATCAGAGACTCTGCTGGTTCCTGAAGGTTCAGGCTATCATCAGAGACTCTGCTGGTTCCTGAAGGTTCAGGCTATCATCAGAGACTCTGCTGGTTCCTGAAGGTTCAGACTATCATCAGAGACACTGCTGGTTCCTGAAGGTTCAGACTATCATCAGAGACTCTGCTGGTTCCTGAAGGTTCAGACTATCATCAGAGACTCTGCTGGTTCCTGAAGGTTCAGACTGACCCACAGGTCCAGGTCCAGGTTCAGCAGTCTGGCCGGTCCGTCTGTCTGCCCGTCACCCTGCTGGTTACAGAAGCAGCACCTCCGCTGGTCTTTGGGTAACGGATCAGGACGAAGACACGCCCCCAGTTTATTCAGTAGTACATCCACTTCCTCCTCCGTTGGCATGGCAACCGTCTCGTTAGGAGTGCAAGTGCCCCTGGGATAAAAGAGACATACAGAACAATGCTAACAGGCTAACCCGTGCAATGTGATGCTAACAGGCTAACCCGTGCAATGTGATGCTGACAGGCTAACCCGTGCAATGTGATGCTAACAGGCTAATCCGTGCAATGTGATGCTAAAGGGCTAACTTGCTCGGTGTGATGCTAACACTATCACAAATCAAAACCCACCTTCATAGAACTGTTTTTAATGTGTGACGAATGTGTGTTCTATGTTTTTAGTGTTTAGCTTTTTTACGATGATTTTAATGTTTATAAAGTGTCTTTGAGAATTTTGAAAAGCGCTATATAAATAAAATGTATTATTATTAACAGGCTAACCTGCTGAGTGTGATGCTAACAGGTAAAGTTTGTCAGTGTGATGCCAACAGGCTAACCTGCTGAGTGTGATGCTAACAGGTAAAATTTGTCAGTGTGATGCTAACAGGCTAACCTGCTGAGTGTGATGCTAACAGGTAAAGTTTGTCAGTGTGATGCTAACAGGCTAACCTGCTGAGTGTGATGCTAAAGCTCCAGCGTCTCCAGCGGTTACTCTTCATCCTCTTCCCGTGGCGAGACGACAGTGAGTCGTCTCCTCCTGGGACTGCCCGGGGGCGGGGCTTCAGCTTCACCTTCACCTGTAAACCAAGTACAGAGTCAATTTATCATCTAATCAATCAACCGGATGATCAGCTACAACTTTTGATAATCAAGTCACCCACTTTGAGGTTGTCCATGCGGGGACTGGTCTCCAGGGTGATGGCGGAGGCGGGGGGGAATGAGAGTGAAGGGGAGGAGGTTGGAGGAGGTGAGGAGGGAGTGTGGAGGAGGGAGTGGACGGCGATGGAGGACATGTTGCTGGTGTACTGGTGCTGCACTCTGCTGGGAGGGACTGGGACGGCAGCCTGAGGACAGAAGGACATCAACTGTACGCCATGACATCATCAAACATCAGAGGTGTGTCACTTCCTTTAGATGGTACATCACTCAGCTGATCACCATGACGGACTCCTTATCAATAATCACTAACCTGGTTCACAGCTCTTCTGCTCTGCAGGTCAGATGCGTAGAGAGACGAGCAGTTTGGACTACAGAACATCAAGCTGGATCTGGACTGACCCTCCTATCACACACACACACACACACACACACACACACACACACACACACACACACACATATAGTGACTTCCTGTCTGCCATCTGTATTGTTTCACTCTGTGTTACACAGTTCTCTACTGCGTCCAACCTGTTTGAGCTCTTTGACGATTCGGACTCCGTTTCCCAGCAGCACCTTGCAGTAGCTGCAACACTGAGGCCTGGCAGTAGAAGCGCCGCCATGTTGGATGTAGTCCATGCCGACACCTGGAGGCAACACACAGACAGAAGATACAAAGCTGTCAATCACAAGCTTGCTTGTGTGTGCATATGTGTGTGTGTGTGTACAGACCAGTGTTTCCAGCAGCATCTGGTCTCTGTTGATTGCTTCCTGTTGAACTCTGCGAACACATCAAACAGTCAGTGTGACGTTCAGAATGATGACTTTTATTACATACAGTATTTAACCCACCTGTGTGAGTGGTACTCTAACTCCAGCCAGCAGACCAAGAGAGCTCCTCCCGGTGCCAGTGGCTCTGCTCAGCTGGTAGTCAGAGGGGACGGGGACCAGTAACAGCTCGGCTACCGCCGCCATCACGTCTGCTACAGTCTGTAAACAGAGTCACAGTGATGTCATCAGGAGGGAGGGGCCACACATGAACACACACAAACACACACACACACAGATGTTTACCTGAGCTGCAACAGGGTTCAGGGTTATCGCTATGGTTACCAGGTCTGTGTTAGAGCATGAGCGATGACCCTGATGGTTAGGCTCCGCCTTCACTTCTTGTTTCACTGCAGAGCCCGGACACACACACACACAAAAAAAAAGGTAAGAAATTAATTATTTTAATGATGGGTTGATCTTTCTTTTCTGTTTCCCACAACCACGACGACTCCCGGCGTGACGGGTACGGTACTACCGCAGTGACGGGTACGGTACTACCGCAGTGACGGGTACGGTACTACCGCAGTGACGCGTAAAGTACTACCGCAGTAACGCGTAAAGTACTACCGCAGTAACAGGTAAAGTACTACCGCAGTAACGCGTACGATATTACCGCAGTAACCCGTACGATATTACCGCAGTAACGCGTACGGTACTACCGCAGTAACGCGTACGGTACTACCGCAGTAACGCGTACGGTACTACCGCAGTAACGCGTACGGTACTACCGCAGTAACGCGTAAGGTACTACCGCAGTAACGCGTACGGTACTACCACAGTAACGCGTACGGTACTACCTCAGTTACGCGTAATGTACTACTGCAGTTACGCGTAATGTACTACTGCAGTAACACAAAGTATCTGGAGCCTTGTAACACTGCTGTTAACTGACCTTTTCCCCAGGCGCAGGGCATCATGGGTATTGTAGGCGAGACGCAGGGCGAAGGCGGCTCCAGTTTGATCCAGGAGAGGTCGGGGTACCTGCTGACCTCTTCGTCCACCACACTCTCTGGAGAAGACGACGGGACGAAGCCTTCAGGGCTGTCACGTCCTGACGAGTCGTGAACTCTGTGGAGGAAAACGCATGAAGAAGAAAGACGAGTCAGGGAAACGTGTCACCACCCGGAGAAAAGGCCAAAGACGAGTTTAAATAAGCGTATTATTTTGAGAATTATAATAATAAAGAAGAACAAACATGAACATTCTCCTCAACATTTAAATGTCCGTAAAGATGAGTTTTAATCAGGACTCAGTGGGCGGAGTTTACCTGAGCTCTTCTTGGTTGTTGTGGGGCGGGGTGGGCAGGGAGGCGGGGACATCTACTGTTTTGGTGCCGTGGTTTAGAGCCAGAGGCCCCTTCCGATTCAGCTTCACACCTTTCAAAGAAAAAAAAAAAACCAAACACATTTTCACTTAAGATCAGTGATAAACTGCAGATTCATGCCTTAAAGATGAAGCAGTGGGTCTAAAGGACACACTCACCCTCCTGCTCCGTCAGCTCCTCCGTTGTAGCGAAGCCATTCACCAGCTTCTGCCTGGTGACGGGCGGGGGGGTGGGAGGCAGGGAGGCCGGAGGTGTGGGGGGGTTACTGAGGTTATTCTGCTGGAGACAAGAGTTAAAGTTCAGAATCAGTGAAGGAGGAAGTGAAGCTGAGGTAGTAGTACTGTACTGTAGTACTATCCTGTAGTACTATAGCACTGTACTGTAGCACTTTAGTACTGTCCTGTAGTACTGTCCTGTAGTACTACTGCAGTAGTACCTTGTATATGAGCTGGGAGTAGTAGTCCGTGACTCCGTCCAGGACTCCGTTACCGAAGGAGCCGCTCATTGTGGAGTCTCTGCCCAGAGAGGAGCTCCCGTACGGGGGGAACAGACTCAGGTCCACCTCCAGAACCGGCTCCATCAGGGGCATCACCGACAGCTGGGGGGGTGGGGGCAATCAATAATCAATACAGATAATCAGTGAGCTATAAGACACTTTTAGCATTAAGATCAATCAATATCTGATCATCAATGAATCCTCTGTTTTAAAATCATACGTTAGTTAAAGGAGGCGGTCTAGCGGAGGTTAAAGGAGGCAGTCTAGCGGAGGTTAAAGGAGGCGGTCTAAAAGAGGTTAAAGGAGGGGGCCTAGAGGAGGTTAAAGGAGGGGGCCTAGAGGAGGTTAAAGGAGGCAGTCTAAAAGAGATTAAAGGAGGCGGCCTAGAGGAGGTTAAAGGAGGCGGCCTAGAGGAGGTTAAAGGAGGCGGCCTAGAGGAGGTTAAAGGAGGC